CAAGGGCGGGGGGAGGGGGGAAAAGACACATATGTAATACCCTTTGTAATACTTTTAGCAATAAAAAAAGAAAAAAAAAGAAATCCAAGTATAGTTTTTAAAAGGAATCCTAATTTATTTTTAAAATTGAGATATAATTCACGTGCCATAAAATTCAGTGTTTTGAGTGTACAATTCAGTAGTTTTTAGTATATTCACAAGGTTGTATAGCCATCACTATCTAATTCCAGAACATTTTCATTACCCCAAAAAGAAATCTTGTACCCATTACAGTCAATCCCTCTTCCCCTTGTCCTCCAGCCCCTGGAAACCATTAACCTAATTTCTGACAACATGGATTTGCCTTCTGGACTCTTCATAGAAGTGGAATCAAATACTATGTGGCCTCTGTATCTGGTTTCTTTCACTTAGCGTACTATTTTTCAAGGTTCATCCATGTTGTACCATGTATCAGTACTTTATTGCATTTTCTTACCCTCGCTTTTTAAATTTTTGGTAAAATATACATGACATAAAATTTACTATTTAACCATTGTTAAGTGTAAAGTTTAGTGGCATTAAGTACATTCACATTGTTATGCAACCATCACCACTATGCTTCTGCAGAACTTTCTCATCATCTCAAAATGAAAATCTGTTTACATTAAACAATAATTTCTCATCTTTTGGCAACCTCTCTTCTACTTTCTGTCTCTATGAATCTGACTACTCTAGGTACTTCATCTAAGTAGAATCCTACAACAACATTTGTCTTCTTGAGCCTGGCTTATTTCACTTACCACAGTGCATTCATATTTCATGTTGTAGCTTGTATTAAATTTCCTTCTTTTTCAAGGCTGAATGATCTTCCACTGTGTGGATATACTACCTTTTGCTTAGTCATTCATAAGTCGATGGATATTTGGATGCTTATGGTTTTTTGCTTCTATGAAGATTTGTGTACAATTTTTTGCATGACCATATGTTTTCAATTCTCCTGGGTGGTAGAGACTATTAGATGGGACTGCAGAGTGATTTGATGAGTAATAAACATTGCCCAGAGATGGATACTTTGATCATGACCCAGGGATGAACAAGGACCACTGGGACTTTGTGTCTCTTTTAAGGAGAGAGTAAGAAAATCTTCGTTTGTATGAAGGACAGTTGTATCTTGCTAGGTAAAAGCATAAAGTTGTTCCTGTAACAACTTGAATAAGGATGTATGTGGATGCTAAGTAGCCAAATGGTTGAACTGTGTTGGTTATTAAGCTATTGTCTCTCAGATCCAAACTCACCTTTCTGTATTCTACTTTGTGAGTAGAGAAGACTGGGTCTCTATAAATCGTATTTCTCCTTTGATAGCTGACTCCCTGTTAAATGTTGTCAATGGGGAAGAGGGTACTAGAGGGAAACTCAGGTAGAAGAGCCTTACTCCTTTGTTTCCTTGCTGTTCCTGGCAGCAGCATCCTAACTCTTGACCCTGGCAGCAGCAGTTAATTCCAGGGTCTAATTTTTTCCACACTCCCAGAACCATCACACTTCCTCAGATATATAGGAATCAGCTGGTTGCTATCTACTTTATTCCTCAGAAGTCTGGGTCCCCTTGTAGGGCTGGTCCCAGCCCCACGGGGTCCTCCTTCTGAACTTCTGAGGTATCAGTAAAGCTGGAAAAAGCTACTTCCTGCAGTTCTATTTCCATGGCACCTCAGGGTTCACTTTTTGTCTTTTCTGTTTTCCAGTATTTGTTTAACCAGTTCTATTTATTTAATGTAATTATGTCTGGGCCTTGGCTGGGTAGCTCAGTTGGTTAGAGTGTCATCCCGATATGCCAAGGTTGCCAGAACATATAAGAAGCAACCAATGAATGCATAAATAAATGGAACAGCAAATTGATGTTTCTCTCTCTCTTTCCCTTCCTCTTCCTCTCTAAAATCAATAAATAAAAAATTTAAAAACATTAATTATGTCTATTAAAATAACTGGTCTAATTTCTATTTTCCTGACAACCATAACTGATAAAGTACCAAAAAACTTCTCAGGCTATGAGCAATCATCACTGATTACCTTACATCTAAACTGAATTCTTTGGGCTCTATGATAACATAACATATTATACAAGTATATTTTATCCGTTTCAAATATAGAAGTAAGTATATTTTAAATGGTTACCCATTTTCCAAGTAGAGCTCTTCTTTCTTCAAATACCTACAATAAATTAAAAATAATGGAATGATTTCATAATTCATGGTTCAAAATACCCATTACAAGAAAGATAGCATTAAAGTATCCATAAATAAGTAGTCTTTTCATTGTGTCAACTGAATATAAAAAGATTTCATTCTTGAGAAGGTACTTTACTTGTTTTTAACTTGGGCAAGGTATCTTTTTTATCAGTTTCTGCATGTGGAATAATTCATCTTAAAGAAGTAATAATTTTACCCGGCCACATATGAGAGGCAACCTATCAATGTTTCTCTCATCATCTCAAAATGAAAATCTGTTTACATTAAACAATAATTTTCTCTCTTACTCTCTCTCCCTCCCTCTCTTTCTAAACTCAATAAACATATTCTTGGGTGAGAACTAAAAAAAAAAAGTAATACTTTTTTAAAGAGAAGAAATTAGAAAAGAATGAGCCATGGCCAGTGTGGCTTAGTTGGTTGAGCATTGTCCCATGCACTGATAGGTCACCGGTTTGATTCCCAGACAGGGCACATGCCCCAGTTGCAAGCTTTATCCCCAGTAGGGGGTGTGCAGGAGGCAGCTGATCAATGGTTGATCAATGTTTCTCTCTCATTGAAGTTTCTCTCCTTCTCCCTCTCTCTATCTTAAAAAAAATTCAATACTAACATATATATATATATTTTTAAAAGAATGAAACTGTAAAGTGAAATCAACATCAGAATTTGAAAGATGAAAAAACTGACAAAGAAAACACAGTAAAATGGAGATCTTCCCCCCAAATATTTCAGTATCAATAGTTTGAGAACTTATGAAGTTTATGAACGAGCAGCTCTATTTTTATGTCAGTGTACACACATATTAGTAGGTTTACGTGTACTTATTATGCATCTCTGTGCTTACAACTCAGTGTTTAACTGTATAGGTTTGTTGTTGTATAGTATTTAGGACAGAAATCATGTATTATTCATCTTTCCATCTCCAGTATAGAGTGTTATACACAGTATATCACAGGTACTCATGTTTAATGGATTAAATGAATGTGGCAATGAAAGTGACAATGAATATACTTATGGATATATTGGTACATGTGAATTATTTAGCTATTGATGTAGAGGTGTTTTTCTGAGCATCAGTTACTAGTATATGTGTATCTTAGTGAGTGAAGAAGGGAAAACTAATGTGAGAATGTCTGGCAGGAAACTATGGAGAGAGGAAACAAGAAAAAGTAATGAACAGATGTAAGTGTCTCTCTCACTCCCACACATGCACCCTGTCAGCTTTCAAAATTGGAATCATTTTGAAGGTTGCCAGATGGGAAGGGGTTTGGGAGGATGGATGAAAAAGGTAAAGGGATTAAGAAGTACAAATTGGTTGTTACAGAATAGTCATTTGCATGTAAAATACACATAGGGAATATAGTCCATAATATTCTAATAACTATGTAGGGTGTAAGATTTATTTGGATGATCAGTTAGTAAGTTATATAATGTCTAATGAATGGGGTGTACACTTGAAACTAATATGTTACTGTATGTCAACTGTAATTGAAAAATTAAAAAATGATTTAAAATAAAAAAATTGGAATCAACGTTTTTCCCTTCCTCTTAGCACTACCTAAATTCTCTGGCACTGCAAGAATTTTCCTACTAGAAGAGCAACTCCAGCCTATTTCTTCCCTTCTTGTAGAGGAGGACGAGGAGTTGGCTTTATGCTTCTAATGGATCACACTTTCCTTCCTTTTTTACTCTCAACTCTAGTTTCAAAGGGCATACAAAATGAGGAGTGAAATAATTGGTTCAGCCACAACCCCAAGGCCAGCGAAATGTCAGTTCTGCTCTTGGCTGGAGAATCTCATACATCACAGGTAGGCTTTCTTTGCACATTAAAGAAGAAAAAGAATGTCCTTCTCTCCTCCTCACTAATTCACTGCCACCTGAGCTACTAGGACCCTCAAATAAACTCAGAATTTCTAGGTGAAAACAGAAGCGTACCTACAGAATACAGAAGATTCAAAAATCTGGATTCAAATATTTCCTGAACTCTTCTCCTCTCTCTAACCAAATCCAATCAGTCATCTATCACCCAAACCAAATCGTTAGCACCACCACTTTTCTGATGCCCAGTGACCTAACTCCTCCCAGCTCATATCCCATGTACAGCGCATGCTCCACTTGGTCTCTACAGGGTTTGCTATGATTCTCTAGTTGTTTCTGTTCATTTTATCTTTCCATGTAGATTACAACCACTGTCTCTACATACTCCACAGGTTCTGTGGCAGGCCCTCCAAAAACACTTGCTAATTGAACAATAACAGCAAAAAGCTTCAAAAGTCATAGAATTTTAGTGCTCAGAGAAATCCTAGAGATATTTTTGCCCAATTTCCTTGTTTTATAGAGGTCAACCAGAGGCCCAAAGGGGGTTACACTTACAGATTTTTAAAAATCACGGTTTCCACACTGTCTGTTCAGTTCAACTCTGTACTTGTTTCCTCCCTAGAACCTCGGTCTTCCCTGTCTTGACTTCCAGTTCGACATGCTTTGGCCTTTCAAAAGGAGGATGGGCTGACCATCATGGTGGCCAATGACAATAAGGAGCATTGGAAACAAAGGGGCACTGACTTGAAGGGGCCAGGAGAATCAGCAAGAAGTAGCAGAAAGGGAGTAGGGTGGGAGGTGGAGAGTGTTATTCAGGCTAAAACAATAGTTTTTAGAGGGCCAACCACCAAGCCTAAGCAGGGTCCAAGTGATAATGGAGAAAATAAAATGAAATAAAGACTGCTAAGAGAGTCACTTAAAATAGAGTCAGAGGCTATTAAGGATTGAGGCTTATGAACATCTTGTGCCTCAGTTCTCAGAGCTGCGTTTATATTGCTAAAACTGTTGCTAAACTACCTCATGGCTGAGCTATAAGCATCCTGGAGCTGAAAACATCTTGGAACAATTGCTACTTGGACACATACACTAGTAGACTTTACTTACTTCCTTGTTTTTTCTGCTTCCCCCATTTACATATTGGAACTAACCAATCCCTGTGAACCTAGCCAGCAATCCTTTTTTTGTATGAAAGAATTATATTTTGTGGATTTGTGTGTTCTTCCTCCTCCTCCTTCTCCTCCTCCTCCTCCTTCTCTATTTTGTGGATTTGTGTGTTGTTTTTTCTTCTTCTTCTTCTTCTTTTTTTAAAAATAAACCCTGCCTTTGCCTGCTCTCTCCAGAGTGCAGTTTGGGTTGCTACCTGAATCTGTGTCTATCAGATTGCAATCCTTTTGCTCAAATAAATGCTTTTTGTTCAGCAATGTTTTTCATGCTAAAACAATGAGTCTTTAAAGGGCCAACGATCAAGTCTAAGCAGGGGTCAAGCAAATCCAGTTCTTTATCAAATTAAATAAACCCTGCCTTTGCCTGCTCTCTCCAGAGTGCAGTTTGGGTTGCTACCTGAATCTGTGTCTATCAGATTGCAATCCTTTTGCTCAAATAAATGCTTTTTGTTCAGCAATGTTTTTCATGCTAAAACAATGAGTCTTTAAAGGGCCAACGATCAAGTCTAAGCAGGGGTCAAGCAAATCCAGTTCTTTATCAAAAGGCATCTAGACCCAAGTAGAAACTGACGGGACTGAATTGGGAGGGAAAACATTAAATGAGTTGAAACCTGGTTCTGACTCTACCCTTGACAAGAAATACAATTTGGGACAAATTAGTTAATTGTCAGGTCCTTAGTCAGAGTCTTATAGTCTCTGGCTGGAGGAAGTCTTCATTTCGAAGATTTGCAATCATGTTCTGCATCTTAAAGAGCTGGAAAACAAAGTATCAATTCAAAATGGAAATATAAAAATGGATCTTCTTTCTTTGCAGAATATTTATAACACAATTTGCTTAGATCCTGCTGTTAAATCAAAATCCTATGTTGTTATTTCAGTCTATTGATACTGCAGTTACATATTCCACTGTGTGACATCATTACGGTGTGGGAATAAGAAATTTAGGGGCTCCTCAATGATGATTGATGGTAACTAGGTGCTTTTCTCAGAACACCCTTCTTTAAAAAAAATTACTGATTTCAGAAAGGAAGGGAAGGGAGAGAGAGATAGAAACCTCAATGATCAGAATCATTGATTGGCTGACTCCTGCACATCCCCCACTGGGAGTCGAGCCTGCAACCTGGACATGTGCCCTGACCAGGAATCGAACCGTGACCTCCTGGTTCATAGGCCAATGCTCAACTAATGAGCCACACTGGCTAGGCTCTCAGAACACCCTTTTAAAATGTACTGTACTACATCTGTGAACCATACTCAAAAGAAATGTTGGTTACTTTCAATTCAAATACTAGATGGCCAAGAAATGCATATACTTTCAAAACATTCCTCCTCTCAAAATTCACAGCGCATGAATTATTTTGAAATCTGTTACATTTGTCTATGTTGATAACGCTGTTTTCCTAGGCATCTCAATTTGAATTCAATCTTTCTGCTTAAAGCCTGCAATGAAGTTAAAATCCTGTGACTCTTATTTTAGTCTGGAATAGTTACATATTTCACATTTTACTACAGAATAGAAGAAAATTAAAACAAAAAACAGGGCCTCAAAATTACACACTGATCATTGGTGACAAGTGCCCTGATCATAAATGTAGAAAACCCCTTGAAATTATTGTATGGACACTTTCACATCACCAGCTGTGAATATCACCCGAGGATATTTTTTCCATTGATTTGTGGGGTTTTTTTTAGAGAGACTGGAAGTGAGTGGGGGGGAAGAGGAGAAAGAGAGAGAGAGAAACATTGATGTGAGAGAGACACATCAACTGGTTGCCACCTGCACACACTCTGATTGGGGCCAGGATCTAACCTGCAACCTAGGTAGTGCTCTTGACTGGGGATTGAACCCAAGATCCTTTGTTGCAAGGGCCAACGCTATAACCACTGACCCATGCCAGTCAGGGCTTGGCGTCTATTTTTAATTCCTTTCATGCAGTCAGAATGCTAGGCCTGAAAGGGATCTTCAAGGTCATCTGATCCAACC